TCCTCTCTCTCTCTCTCTCTCTCTCTCTCTCTCTCTCTCTCTCTCTCTCTTTCCCTCTTTTTTCCTCTGTCTCGTTTTTCTCTCTCTCTTTCTCTTTCTCTTCCCCTTTCGCCGCTCTCTCTTCGCCGTCACAACTATTTCTCTTTCTCACAGCCCATCCGTCGGTCTGTTTTCCGAGGGTCGCTTTTCCCTCTTTTGTTTTTCCGCGGTACTCCCACCCCCCAACTCCGTCGTGGACGCGCGAACGATCGCAATGGTCGCCGCGATGCTCGCCATCGTTCGCGAAAGAATCGCCGAATGTCGGATTACGAGCGGCTGCGATAAACGCACGAATTATGCTCAAATGCATCACTTATTCGAGAACCGGTCGGTATTGACCATCGAGAATGTTCGTTAATCGTTAATGTGTCCACGTAAAACGAACGTGGATTTAAAATTTTTTCACGCTTATCAAAACGATTGTAGAATCGTTAAAGTTGCAATCATAAATTATTTCTCCCGAGATCGTAAAATAATAACGGGGAACGTATTTCGTACGATTAATTCTTAAGGATCTTTAAATCCAATATTTTTTTTTTTAGATCACGGTAATTGCTCAAAAAAGGAATTTAAGTAACACGAACTCAGCGAAATCGATTAGCACATTAATATTGTCTTACGTATCATATATGTATCTTTAATTGTCATATTCTTTGTAATTAAACCCAGGCGTGACTAAGTTCATTTATGTAAAAAAAAAAAAGGGAGAAAGGAAAGAGTGCGGCATGCGTGTTGTCAGATTAATACGGAGCTACGATGCGCAGCGTAACAGCGCGCGCGCGCGCAAGCGAGGCATTCGACTCGGTAAACTCGATAAATTAGCGATATTACGGTGCAGTATTGGAACGACCTTTGAAACAGGGCTGTCTGCAAATCGCGACGGCGTTTGCTTTCATCAAACGTCGCGGAAAGGCGTTATTGATTTCGAGCTGCGGCAATTATCGTTCGATTGCGAGCATCGCGCGGATATCTGCGTCGCGATGCTCGCGGCTCTTTTCCCGAGTCTCCGCGCGCGTTATTTTTATTATTTTTAGGGAAACACCCGCGAGAGAAATCTCCTTACTTTATGCGCATTTTGTACCGCGTGGGTCTCAAAAATCGAGCTTCCGCGCAATTGTTGGTCCATTATTGAGGAGACCGAGAGACCGCCAGTTCGGCCAGATCGCGTCTGTCCGCGAATATCCGGAAAGTTTCCGCTCCACGTGACACGGCGATGCGGGTGGCGCATTTTTAAATCGGCGACCACCCGAGAGAATTCGTGCGGGAATAAATATCGTGGAATCGTGGCGAGAAACGGATATTCGTTTGTTTACACTCGCCGCGCGAAATTTCACGGTTCCACCTTGCCAAGACGGATAAATTTGAGAGATCTCTTAAGATTCAATAAAAAACAGATAGTAGACATTTTTTACGACATTTATCATGGAATCCCCAATCGATAACCATTAAATGTTGATTCATTTACGGTCGTATCGTTTGTTCTGTAGAGGTTTTTTCCAATTTAGTTTTTCTTGACTTTTTGACACAGAGTTATATCGTTACCTTTACATATTGTATATAAAATCTGTCCCAAAAACCATCGCGAGTTCTTTCAGTTATGACTGCTTTGACAAATTTGAATCTGATTTTTCTAAATAAAGATCTCATCTCTTGTGGCAGTAATTATGACTTTTGATATCTGGGTATCATAGATTAAATATTACCGTAATATTTTATTTTTATCTTGGATAATCAGTTGAAAGATAGAGAATTTGTTATTTTGTAGTTTTTGAAGTTTGAGTTGTTAATTTACTTTTGATTTTTGATATTAAACATTGGTATCCGTACATTGGAATAACTCTATCGTTTCTCGCACGGTTCGGATATTAATACTTTTAGTCAAAAGTAATTGCTCTTGCCAGTAATAGTTCTTAAATATTCTGTAAATGGGTTTTCTCCAATATTGCGCCATATTTTGGTGCTGACGAGCGCAGCGGTTTCGCGCGTTTCCACGTTATCCATCATTATAGCGAGCTTAATGGGCCGCGATCGTTACCGCCGTAATTCGACGACTTTTGATCAATACTTCGCGTTACCGAGGTGATGATTTTTAAACTTCAATATGACCATCGTGCGCAACGAAGTACCGCCGCGACTGTTTGACGTCGATCCGTCGGTGCCTCTCACCTTTTCTTTTTTGAATCGTTATTCGCCGCATTCTGCATCTACCTGTGAAACGTCAGTGGCTCTCAATCGCCAATAATAGGATCGATCATGGAATCTGATTTTGGCTCTCAAATTATTGCGGGCAAATTATCAGAGAGCGTAATCGTATGATCATAATCATACACTGTAAACTACGAAAATGCACTTTCGACAAAGGATGATAAAATCACACAAATCGATCTTGACCCACAATTCGCAATGTACTTTACAAGACGCCGAGGTCGATAAAATTTACTTGTATCACTCTAATTATTTCATTTATATTTTGATTGCATTTATGTGATATATCATCTAAAAAAGGCGGTGTTTATATCGTGATGCATAATGTTATCATTGTGGTAAATATTCGTTTATAATTAATGACGAAATATTTATAAATCAGTAACGAATTGTTTCAATACATTACTTGCGTATAGCACAGTCGCTGCTGCCGATATTATTACTTACTGCCACCCATCCCAAGCTGCTTCCACCCTTTCAATCCCATCATAAATGCATTTCGCGTCGGTCGCCTGCTCATTAAATCGCGAATTTGCCTTTTTTATCCTTTTCTGATCGAGATGATTGTCCTCGAAATTTTGTGCACCGGCAAATTGCATTCCTTGAGAACCTCTGACTGCGCGTGACTTAATGGGGGAGACTTCGCCAACATTTTATTGAGTTACTAAATTATAACGGAAACGTTGCAATTCGAATCTATCCTCGTCTGTTTTTAATGAGACGGCTTGATCGTATTTTGTCGAGGAATCGAGATAAATATTCGTCAAGATTGTAACGGCGCGGCGTCCGTCTCGCTAAAAAAATAATAACATTTGCAGGATAAATAGAAGGAGGCGGATAATGAAGAAATAAATGAAACGTGACACTCGATCTACCATCGTGAATTTTTCAAAACCGTTTAAAAGCATTTCGCTGCGGAAGCAGTCCTATGTGCACTTGCGCGTTGTGTCTTGATATTGGCGAAAATTGAATAATACAGCGAATAACGGCTACTGCGCAGAATAGCGAGCAAGAAATTTTTTCCATTAGAATATTAAAGAGATATGACATCATCTGACATTTACGATTTGATCATTTATTTTATCAATCATTTAACAATCAATCTCAAATTTGTGAAATTAAA